AGGTAGATACACTCCTTGGAGTGAACAATCATGGGAGAAAGAAGGGCCATTTATGCACAGGGAGCAGCTCAGGGGGCAGGAGTGCATGGAGGAACGGACACAGGGAAAAGGTAACTATCGGGAGGAAGTGGGAGGGGAACTGTTGTATTGGGGTAAATTGTAGTCAATGTCATGAGACAAAGTGTGTGTGAACTGCGTATGGAAAGTGAATTTTCTCTGCATATTTTCACTCAAATCACAATTTCAAAAAAAAAAAACAGAAAGCATAACACACACAAAAAAATTCTTGTAGCCTTTCAATAATGAAGAAAAGAGTAGGTAATAGAGAGTTTTGGTTCCTTTCTGTAATTTTTAGAAAAAGATATTAACACGAATGACTGAGAAAGTCAGAACTTTAATATTTACCACATTAACAGACTCCCAAGCTCAGTAAAGCAAAAGCTTAAACTGTCAGAGAAACAGTGGGTAGAGCTCATAACTTAGACTGCACCAAAGGTGAAAAAATAATAAAAGTCTAAAAAATTATTTATTGTCTTAATAGAATAGGCTAGAAATAATTGTTTATACATGGATAAGAGATATAAATAATATCATTTGCACAAAATTTAAGAACTGTCAGAAATCCACTCATTTATTGGATGAAACTGAGGCTCAAAGGTTTGGTTAAAGAAGAAAAACAATGAATTCATCAAGCTAATCAAGAACCACCAGAGGACATTTAACTTAAATTACAGACAAGAAAATAATCAAGCTTGCCTCTGACCAATAAGGGACATGCTTAAGAGAATAAAATACAAAAGAGAAAATAAAAACAAATGCTTAATGTACAAGAACACTACCTTGTCTACTCTACTCTAGCCGCCTTGCTTATTTTCTTATCTATAACTGAAGTTAAATGTCCTCTAGAGGTTCTTGACTAGCTTCCTGAATTCACTATTTCTCTTCTTTAACCACCTTTGAGCCTCAGTTATATTATTACTATCACCATTCTTCAGATGTAGAAACTGAGGCTTTGAGGTAGGTTAAGTATTTTATCCAATCTTACCTGGCTTCAAAGCAGCAGAGCTGGGATCTGAACTAACCCTGCCTGACTTTTAGATCAACAAAGAGAGCAGGCTCATCTCCATAAGATGATTTTTAAATTGCATCAGAAAAAAAATTACTTTGCTAGAAAGGAAAAACCAAAGTTTCTTCCAGAAATTTATAAAATCCAGAAAGGTATGACATAGAAAACAATAATAATAAATCACAACGTTTCTGATGGTTTACAAGTATTCATCTGCTTTTTAGGTGAGAGGAGAGGAGAACTCATTGTCAATTCTGACTCACAGAGGCCCCCATTGAGTTTCCAAAGCTGTAAATATTTATGGAAGCAGACTGCCTCAGCGCTCTTCCTCAGAGCAACTGGGGGGTTTGAATCACCAACCTTTTGGTTAGCAGCCAAATGCCTTAACCACCACACCTCCAGAGCAGCCCCCTATAATCTAAACATTCCTGCTGTAAATATGCCTTTATGGTTCTAGATGATCTATACCTATAGGACTTATGCTCACAATGTAAGAAATTAGCTAAATGAAACAGTGTTACCATGAGTCAGTAAAACTGTATAGGAAAAGCACAACAATCATAATTTAACTTTAAAAAATTCAAATGCAGATACATGTCTTGGCAGTCTAAACTACTGACATTTTACAGATGGAAAGATTAGAGACTAACATTAAAGAGCCAAGGAAAAGAAGGAAAGAGCAAGTTCCATTTTATTCCATTTTCAATGGTATACTTTAATGTTTTCTTTCAACCAAAACATTTTAAGGAAATTATTGATAAAATTCCAAAGCCAAAAATTCTCAAACATTCTAATTGAAAGTAAAGCTGAGAAATAAGAGAGTAAAAGCGGCTAAAGAAAACACAAAATAAAACAAAAACATACCTTTGATACATTATCAAGTTGAGAGTTTCCATAAAGGCTAGAGATACTCTCTGCCCGCATAAGATACTCTGCTGTTCTTCTCTTCACAGCTTCTCGACGGGTAGGGCTTGACTCTCCTAAAAGAAGAAAACAAAAGTCTAGATGTGGGGAATAATAAACTTCTTTTATCCAAACTGAAGATTTAACCCAATCCACTGCTTTTTCACACTTCTAACAGAACAGATATGCAAAATTAGAACAGACATCAAAGTTGTAACCATAAGCGAAGTCTAAATATTACCCATGAATTTCATTTACCCAAATTCTGACACTCTCTTATTTAAACATATACTAGGAATTTGATATATTTTATAGGAGGAGTCATAAATATAAGAAATGTAATATAAAAAGCTTTAAATAAAAGACAACAGACTAGCCCTAGTCCATAGGCTTAACTGCAGTAGAGATTAAATAAGAACTGTGATGTGGATATGATGTGCTATGGACTATGTAAAAGTACCACCAAACTGGAATGCAACTATGGAAAATGTTATCATTTAGAGTAACCTTGAATTAATTCCAATGATTTTTGTAAAAGGAGTGCTGGTGGTGTAGCACCTAAGGCATTTGACTGCATGCAAGAAGGCTGGTGGTTCAAACCTACCAGCCACTCTGCAGAAGGAAGATGGGGCAATCTACTTCTACAAAAATTTACCCCCTTGGAAACCCAATGTGGGTCACTTTGAGTCAGAATCAACTCAATGGCAATGGGCTTTGGTTTTGATTTTTGTAAGCTCAGTAGTTTGTTTTTTCAATTGAAAACAAGAATGTGATCAAAATCCATGTATTATACAAGTACGTAAAAGTGAACAAGTCATTTACCCTATCTATGTCTCAGTTTCCTCAATTACTAAACAAAGAGAATTCAGAGTGGCTTCTAAAGAACTCCTCCAAACCCTAAGGAAAAGGTTAAACCTATAGGGTACTGGGAAGCTCTGGTGGCATAGCACCTAAGGCATTTGACTGCTAACCAGAAGGGTGGTGGTTCAAACCCACCAGCCACTCCTCAGAAGGAAGGCTGAGCAATCTACTTCCACAGAGATACCACCTTGGAAACCCAAGGAGGAGTGGCTATGAGTCGACTCCACCCAACAGCAGTGAGTTTAGTTTTTTGAGTGTATAGGATACTGGTCCTCTTCTCTCTAAAAAAGATCATTCTATGCTTTTACCCATTTTATATACCTATTACATAGAATTTCATTTGAATAAAGAGTTCCATGGCTAAAATTTGAAATTTTCAAAACCATTAAACTATATGATGTCTAAGGCTCCTTTCATAAAAAATATTGAAAACTATTCATGACTCATTTTTTTATCAAAGCATTTAATTCACAGTTGTTGCTTTAATTTACCCTATGCACTTTTCTGAATAAAGTTATCCAAAGAGCAAGCATCATACAGTGGAAAGCGTACTGGGTTACTTTCCAGAAACCCTGGTTATCCGAATCGTAGCTCTGCCTCTCAGTAGTCATATGAGCTATGGTAAGTTATCTCAACCTTCTGAACCTCTTCATCATTTCCTAAAATGGAATGTTGTTGTTGTTGTTGTTGTTATGTGCCGTCGAGTCGGCCCGGACTCATAGCGACCCCTCCTTGGGTTTCCAAGGCAGTATCACTACAGAAGTAGATTGCCCAACCTTCCTTCTGAGGAGTGGCTGGTGGGTTTGAACCGCCAGCCTTCTGGTTAGCAGTCAAGTGCCTTAGGCACTATGCTACCAGAGCTCCTATATACATCTCAAATGATTGTAGAGATTAAAGGAGACAACACACATAAATGATACTATACAGAAGCACTCACATAAGAAACACTAAATTTTCAATTTCTCTATTGGTTTTTGGTTTGAAAAAATGTTTTATCTCTCAAAACCAAATGCCACAAAATAATGTTTCCTGAATTGAACAAAATTATTAGTAAAAGTAGATTTTTTCACCAAAAGACTACTAGTAGAAAAATCTCTTATTTCTTCCTGGAACAGCATCTTCTCCCCACTTCTTTTGGGAAATGTTCCTTTCTCCTCTCATTCATGCCTAGGCCCTAGCCCCACCCCAGCCCCCCACCAATACCACCACTACCAACCCTAACCAAGTATTTGAATAAAAGCTGCTATCTTGCTACAGATCTTAGTCCCTCTAGCCACTACTGGGTAGCAAAGGGTAGGCCCCTGTCATAAGCTGGGTCAATCAGACAACCTCACCCTCCTGGCCACAGCTAAAGAATGAAGGACTTGGCCCAATACATACTGGGCTAATCAGTCCTCTGTTATTTGAAGCTGGAAATAAGAGAAGTGGGAATTGCCAGCAGCCATAGTTTCTGCCAATGTGGAAAAAAAGCCAATCTGAAAGAAGGAAGTTGACACAGAGTGAAACAGATACGAGAAACAAAATAAATCCTACTATTACTAGTGTCCCTGATTTCAGTTGAACCTACACTCCTGCCTTTCTTTGCCTACAGTAGTTCAAATTTGAACTCTGTCACCTACAAACCAAAGAATCAAAGAAAAACTGCAAAAAAGCTGGGATTTCAATTTGCCACATGACTTTAATTTCACAACTTTTATACTACTAGTGAATTTCTTCTTTGCTTTATGAGTAATTTACAAATATAACTGGTTTTGTAGGAAAAATATATCTATTGCTTTTTAACTCTAGAACAATCTACAATTATTAAATCTCTAATCAACTCTGACTTCTCAAAACTCAATAAAAATGCTTTTGTCCTTAAATTTTACTTAATTTCTAAAGTTGCTTCTTTGAAATAATTCAGTTGAAAAATGAACAGAATCTCTTTGTGAAAATCACCTATGTAACTTTAACATACTCTATACTCTAAAGATAAAATGTGCCACATAAATAACAAATATTCAGCATTTCTACACACTACTAATTCTTTGTTTGGGGGCTTACTGTTTGGGCTCTGTTATTCCCAGTACCATTAGCTCTTCTCATTTCAGGTTATGTCCTTCAAGCCCTTATCACCATTTAAAATTTGTGATTCGCCTTAGGCTCAACTCTAGGACAAACTGTGGCAACATTAGTTTTTTAATTGTTTAAGCTTTAGTGAAAATTCAAAATCTGCTGTATTCAAAAAAGTCTATTAGATCCCAAAATAATGTGACATTCAAAAATGCCAAGATTATGGAACACCTAATTAGAGCCAGAGTTAAAACCATGTTTTGTAATCAAATCACTGTTTTTTAAACTTTTGGTTTTTCTGCTGTTTTCTAGCCAGTCTCCATAGTAACAGAGAAATAAGAACCAGAAGCCAGCAGTTAAAATGGACTCCTGCTGGTGATGGTGGTTCCAATTCCACTGAAACAACAATGAAGTGATGGAAACATGGGAAGGTTTTTAAACATAACATTGAATATACATATTATGTCTTCTTCCTTCTCAACCCCTTAAAAAGGGGGATCACAAACACTGCTGATCAATAGAAGCAAACAAGGCTGGGAACCACATCTTAGCTGCTAGATGCTTACTGAGATTCGTACTAGAAAGTAAAAATGAATCTATAACTTTCCGGAATGATTCTTCCTGATTAAATTATTGATAAATGTGACTTTAAAGAACTTTTAATTGATAGTTTTTACTTTTAAAGATGCTAACCTCCTTACTGTTTTATCACCTGTTCCTCATTTTGCATCCTCATGCACACAGTCACACATACCCCACTGTTTATTTTCCAAGAAAAACTAGGTATATGACCTTTAATCTAGGTCATATGACTATTTATTATTTCTTCAGTAACATAACCAGGTAAACACTTCCCATTGCTGCTGAGTAGATGCCAATTCATGTGACCCTACAGAACAGAGCAGAACTGCCCACAGGGTTTCCAAGACTGTAATCTTCAAAGAAGCAGAATGCCTTATCTTTCTCCCAGGGAGTGGTTGGTGGGTTCAAACTGCTGACCTTTGAGTTAGCAATCAAGCATTTAACCACTACACCACCAGGGCTCTTTAAATAGATACCTGATGCTTTTCAAAGTGCATACATAGTTTGTTGTTGTTGTTATGTGCCGTCGAGTCGGCCCCAACTCATAGCGACCCCTCCTTGGGTTTCCGAGGCAGTATCACTATGGAAGTAGGATTGCCCAACCTTCCTTCCGAGGAGTGGCTGGTGGGTTTGAACCGCCAGCCGTCTGGTTAGCAGGCAAGTGTCTTAGCCACTATGCTACCAGAGCTCCCCCATACATAGTTTAGTGTTAAAATTTAATAACCTATCTAGTCCTACCAATGGAGCCACAGGACACTCTGGTCCTGCCTCCTGGATGCCATTGGTAAACTGGCATTCCACGCAGGTGTCAGAAGGAATAAATGAGAAAAGGAAAAGCAAAAGAGATGCCCTCCTCCCCCCAAAAAAGTGGAAGATTTGAAGTAAAAAGAGAATATATAAGAATATAAGAAAAAGTAAACATATATACAGAAGGAAATCAAAATGGTACTGTAGAAGGTACAAGGCCATGAAAGCAGAATGGGCTGGTGCACCACTTCTTCTGCACTCGGTCTCTGAGTCCTTTGCAGAGGGCTCAAACTAAGGTTCAATGCCATGTTGGGGCAGAGCATTCAAAGGTTTACCACCCCTGTGATCCATTTACCACCTCCGTGATGAGGAGTGCCAGGGAAGAATGTGCCTTTTTCAGTGGAAAACAAATGGCGGCTACTAATTATAATGACTTTGTATTTTTAGATCTGGATTTGGGCACCTTTCTTTATAGTAAGACACCAACTTCTTAAGGAACAGGGATGTCTAAGTCCATGAAACAGGTAAGAGGAGGAGCGTTTTAAGAAGTACAGCCTCTGAAAAAATGGATCAAACCCTGCTGAACACATAAAGCAAAACAGATGTTTGTAAATAAACTTATTACTAGGGGGGAAAAAAAGGCACAGTTGATTATCCTTGGCCTAGAAGGAAAGGTTCCTTTAATTTTGATAGTTAGGGAAGGTCTCATCTAGTTGTACTGGGCATTTTACATAAAGATAAAAACAGTATGTTTACCTAGTTACTCAATATAAATAATCTCTACAAAAATAATTACTATAGAGTGTGTGTATTTTATTTTTTTATTTTTCTTACA